ACCAATCAGAGCCGAGAAATATAGAAAGAGACTTTGGTTTGGAGGCTTGAAGATAGTTGATTGTTGAGTCTAATCCCCAGAGTCCCAAAGTATCTGTATTTGACGCCCTGGGAATGAGACTCAACAATCAACTAACTTTCTTGGCTCTGATTGGTTGTTTTTGTTAAGGCCTGGTGAATGCTCTCAAACATAGACATATATATGTAGACACTGCATTGACCAGCAAGAGACTGGCTTAAAAAAATATTTTTAGAGAAATTACCTACTGCAGCTTTAAATCTCTATCATAACTACGCCTGCAAAATTTTCCATTTCATTCAGAATTACCACATGATGATGTGTGTGTGTGTGTGTGTGTGTGTAGTAGTACCTGTGTATTGCGTCCCATAGCATCAGACTGTGTTCTCTGTAGAAATATTTCGGGAGCTCATAAACTCCTCTGTCAGTGAAGTCATTGCGGGGCTGGAGGGAGCGGTAGGTCAGCACCTTGTACTCCCTCTGAGCCAGAATCAACAGGCCATCACCACCTGTAGACACAACCTACAGACACACAGACACACAGACACAGACACAGACACACAGACACACACACACAGACACACACACACACACACACACACACACACACACACAGGACCATCACCATGATGATGAGCACCATCTATGGAGATATTTTTCACAAATTGAATCAGAATGTAATAGTTTTGAATTTGAAATGTTAAAACTGATTATTTAAAAATGTAATCTTGTGATTTGAAATTAAATTTTAACTCGTATTGCTTCCAAATTCATCTCAGAATTCAGTTTTCAAATTGAGTTTCCTGGACTAAATTTGGAACTCCACCAAAACAAAAAAATAAAATAATAATAATAATACTCACAAATCGAAACCAATAAAAAAGTTCAATTACATTTTAAACCATAAGATTCAAAATCAATCTGTGAAATACAATTTAAAATTTTGTGTACAATAATCAGTTTTAATATTTCAAATTGAATTTGACCTGGCACTAAAATATACCCATAACCATCTATTAATTACCTTACAATTGATTTCCAAGACATCAGAGATTAATAATATGACTGTGATGGCGCAACAAAACATTTGAAAATCTCAATTAAATGTACTGTTTTAGAGTGACACACCCGTTTGAAGATGCCATTGGGAGAGATGAGCTGAGTGCGTCCCCTACAGTTGATCTCTAGAGTATAGCGCAGATGAGGGGCCAGGAGCTAAAGCCGGAAGACACAAAAGCTGAGCTAATTGATTCTTCCTAAACAGGGAAATGTCCAGAGGGAGGCGGCCCCAAGTGCCACCCCATTATCCTTACCTTTTTCCACTCTGTACTGTCATTCAGCTGTAGCAGGTTCCATTTTAAAGCTAGAGTGAAGATACTGGTATCACATGAAACTAGACGATCTAACATATCCTTTGGCTAAATAAATATACTTACCTGTTAGCATACTTTAACTCTTTTTTTCAGCTTTTATGCCTTTATTTGAATGAAAGGTCATTTTGCAGCGGCCCAGGTGTCGATCCGAACCGTTGGCCACTTAATGCATGCGGTGTCATTACCCTCGTCTCTGCCCCATATAAACTGTAATGGTTCAATCCAGGACTGTCAAATATTCTCTT